ATCCACCAGTTTGTTTTCCTGGGCTATGGGGTCATGGGAGGTATGATGTCCTCTGCAGTGTATAAGTCCAACCTCCTTTGGGAGTTGTGCAGCCTCAAGAAGTATCTTGATAAGATGCCCATTTTTTAATGGACCCTCATTGAGTGGTCATGTATCCTCTCTCCTTCCACATGGCTGTGCAGGAGCATAGGATGTGGTAAGCATACTTAGAGTCAGTGTATATGTTGACTTGTTTGTTACTTGCCAGAGTGAGAGCACAGGTGAGGGCAATGAGTTCTGCCTGTTGGGAAGTGACGTCAGGGGGAAGAGGGGGCAGCCTGAATACCTTGTGTTAGATTTACTATGGCATAACCTGCCTGGGGAGCAGGCTCCCATCTATGAACCATGTATGTTGGGGCCGCAGAATGGGATGTGCGGAGATCTGTGGAAAGGGAGAAAGAGGTCTAAAACCTCTGTGCAGTTATGTTCTAAGGTTCATGAGTGTTTGTGGATGAGAGTGGCTGGATTTAAGGGAGGGCAAGGTCTAAAGGAGAACTGGGAATCCTCAATGAAGTTAAGGTGGATAAGTTGTAGGTGTGAAGGGGAGAGAATTGACATGGCCTTATGGCTGAGAAGCCCTTGGCTGTTAGGTGTCCAAAAGTTAGTTTAAAGCTTTCTTGTGTTAAAAGGCAGCTGCCACTAAGGCCCGTGAACAGGAGGCCCATCCCTGGGCTGTGGTGCCTAGGTTTAGAGAGGTATGCAACTGGGGAGAAAATATCTCCTACCTTTTGTCCCAAAACCAAGAATGCCAATCCTTGGGTTTTGTTGACATGTAGGATAAAAGGATGAAGTAGGTTTGGGAGGGATAGAGCTGGGGCTGTGAGGAGAGTGGCTTTTAATTGCTGGAAGGGAGAATAATTGGGCTTTGTGGGATCTAAGGAAATGGCAAGATGCCCTTTGGCTGCCCCACAAAGTGGCTTTGCTGGCACGCCAAACTTGAGGATCCGCAAGTGGAGATATCCTGCAATCCCCAGGAAAGAGAGAATGTCACTCTTTGTGGTGAAAGTTGGTAGTTCACATATTAGACTCATGTGAATCCACCATTATTTCTCTGGTGTTGGGGGTGAGGTGGACTCCCAAATAGGCAACTGAAGGAGAAGAAATTTGTGCCTTGCTGAGGGACACTCAATATCCCCTGGAAGCCAGGAAATTAAGGAGAGCAA